CAGTGCGTGACTTTTTATGCTTGCGAGTTTTATTAATTCTTAAATATTGGATCGGATGAGACAATTCCGATTATTATCGCTTAATCGCATTCCAGTACGTTTTAACGTAAATTGTTTGAGAAATTGCGTATAATGAAATTTACGCGATTATTTTAACGCCACATTCAGCATGGGATAACGATGACTATTTCGTCTTAATGCAGGATACTACGTTGTCTTCATGCTGCTCGCATCCCTGAATAGCGCCGTTAACCCTTGGATCTACATGGCCTTCACGGGAATTTCAAGAACGCTCGGCGATTTCTTCCTCTGCAAAAGATCGAACCTGTTCAGAAACGCGAGCCGCTCCTCCGGCAGTACGACAAAGACGTCAGTCGTAAGTGCGTTTAAGAGCAATCACGGACAGGACCCGGGCCTGCTGCGACACAGTCAGCATTACGGCGCGAACGCGCGAAACGGCGCCTGCTTCCCTGCTGCGAGGAGATCGATGGTGGAGATGCTGCCAGTGCGAGACGCCTCGCGTACGTCCGTGAGCAGCACCGGGAGGAAGAACTCGGCAGGCACCGATACGGTTGCCGTGTGAGCCTCTCGCCGATGTCGTAGCTTTACGAAATCCCGCACCGACGTAAATTAACGTCGAAGAGCCCCAAGTTACCTCCCCCCCCCCACCCACCCGATCGTTCCATTCTTGACGTGGCTGGATGTATACGTGCTGTATTCTCGAATTGGCCACGTTTTAAAGGAAATTACAGGGCGAGAGAAATCCGATACATATAATATATTTAACCCTTTCGTAAACCGATGTAAGGTTTAAGCGACATTTAGGGAGACTGTGTTGTTAATCAGCAGAAGATATTATTAATTAAAATGGCGTACGTACCAACGTCACATGAGCTCACGAACCCATGACAAATTCATTGGATAAGTGAACTCCACTATTTGTGCTACATCAGTTTCGTGACCTCGTCTCTTTTAACCAATTTTGTCTATTGTTATAATGCTTGTCACAGCGATTTTCCGTCAATAGTAATAACGCATGATTTGGTGTCGACACAACTCTCTTCCTTGATATTTTTTCTTACTTCTTTTCTCCACTTAAAAAGCTGTATTAATAGTATATCATTCAGACTCCCTATGCACTAATTTCTTTTCTTTTCTTTTACTTACTTAAATTTTCCAAACCTGACTCCGTCTACTCATGCAAATCCATAAAGTTACATTTATGGTAAACCGACCAGGCTCTACGACTGTTACACGGCCAACGTAGTGTTAAGCGAGAAGGGAACTTATGGCTACATTTATGGTTAAAACGTGGACGCAGTTTATCGCACGTGAATATAATTGATGTTACGTTAAATTCCGCAAAATAATAACAAAATCTAACGAAATTAGACTGTTTATGGCATTTTCGTTGATTTGCGTATGATTCGCACTTGCAAGCTATGAAACCATGTTAAATAGGCTATAACTATTGTTATACACTGAATGGTCTTTTCTTAGCACATTACTTCACGAAGCTCCGCGGACGCATCATGAGAATCATAAAAATCTTTTGACGCTTCTCCAATTTGGGCGTTTGTGGAGTTACTTGTCTATAGTACTGCCGACATAAATAAGCCGTTTCACATATTTTGTCGTGCTTCCCTGGTAAAAAACAAACATTTCGCTCCCTTTTGTTTCTGCCTTCCGAACACTACGGTGCAATAAGCTGCCTCTTTATTTGCCCATTAGTTCAATCTGGCCTGCAAACTCTATAAAAAAAGCATACCTTCCGTTTATACCATTAGTAATTCATCAATTACTGTTGCTCTTTACGCTGTCACTCGCAAGCAAATAATAACTACATACGCCTTAATTTGATTGGACGCCGTTATGTACGTTATGTGAAACTATATGTAATCAGGAGCTAATAATGACAAATTTGGCATTATTAGCTCCTGATGTAATGAGTACTGCAAGGGGTGAGCACATTCCTCCATGCAGTGCTGCTACCTAGATGATTCGGGACGAGCCTACGTATTCAGCTATACCGCATTCAGTGGCAGTGGATCGTTTCATTTAAGATTTAGTCAAAATCCTGTGAGTTTACGGCATGAACAGTTCATGTTTTAGGGGAAATGTAGGGGTATATGTGTATAGGTATGGATATGGTGGTAATGTAGCTCTAACATCTAGATTCAATAAAACATACGACGGCTATACATATGAGATATGACTATGTGACATAGAGCCTGGTCCCATAAATCCCATGATATATATATATACTTGTATATATAATAGTTCTCTGATAACAAGTATATATCTATCTATCTATCTATCTATCTATCTATCTATCTATCTATCTATCTATCTATCTATCTATCTATCTATCTATCTATCTATCTATCTGTCTGTCTGTCTGTCTATCTATCTATCTATCTATCTATCTATCTATCTATCTATCTATCTATCTATCTATATATCTATATATCTATCTATCTATATATCTATATATATATCTATATATCTATCTATCTATCTATATGTCTATCTATCTATCTATCTATCTATCTATCTATCTATCTATCTATCTATCTATCTATCTATCTATCTATCTATCTATCTATCTATCTATCTATCTATCTATCTATCTATCTATCTATCTATCTATCTATCTATCTATCGATCTATCGACCTATTTATCTCTCACCCTCTCTTTCCCGATCTATCGACCTATTTATCTCTCACCCTCTCTTTCCCGATCCCTCACGATAACTTGGTTATTTATTTCCCATAATTATTCTTTCTCTATTATCTCTCCCCATTCTTCTTTATCCCTCTCACCTTCTCTCTCTTCCCCCTCTCCTCTTCCCTCTCTCCCTCTCTCTTACTCTCTCCCCCCCCCCTTCTATCGTTTTACCTTTCCTCAACCCACTCCATTCCCGCGTCTCTCGCACCCGCTATTTTAGGGTCGCGACCGAGTCACTATAGTGCTATATACTACAATACACTGTATTTATGTACACAACGCTTCTAATAATTGTCTCTCTCTCTCGCTCTCTCTCTCTCTCTCTCTCTCTCTCTCTCTCT